TCACAATTAGTTAAATTGCGATTAATCAACGTCACTCCAAAACTTGATCTCGCCATAATATTATAAACGTTATATCACTCTCCGTTTCAGAATGGCTGAACTTTAAAATTCAACCTTCAACCTTTTGATTCGCCCTCTGGTCTATCGCTTGCCCAAACCTTGGCCCGCGAAACGATTACTCTATTTTCACACGAAACTTCACCCAAATGGCAACGATCGGCCATTTCTCCGACTTGGCCAGCGATAACGCCGATTTTATCGCGCGGGTTTTCGAGTAATCACTCTCGTTGTTGGAACTTGAAACTAACCGCACGCGCGCGCATAACTCAAGTGTTTTATCGCAACCTCATCATCACCGCAGTCTGCGCCTTCGGCCATGCATGTCGGTCTGTTTTTGCTACGCTACTCATATTAAAGACCTCCGAGTCAAAGTGCTAATACGATACGTGTGTACACGGTACGTAACTTACGTATACGCGTGGCCGTACAGAGAAACCAGTCGCCTCGTACACGTTCGAATACGTTGCTCCGGTTCGCCTAACATTCAGAAAACGAGCGCTCGCTTATTGTCTCGTACCCTTGCTCTCATTACTCTCGAGTCTCGAGCTCTGTTTTTTCACCCATCTCCGAGCAGTCTCGATCATCTTGCTGTCAGACTTCGATACCCGACTCCGGCATATTTCGTCTGTCGATTTCACTGAATTTTCGTTTGTTAATTCGATTGAAGTACGAACGGAAATATCTTTCACAGTTACGTGTCTACACCTGTGATTTTCTATACAATTATTGTTCGTTTGACTTTCCCCTTTCCTTGAAGCTGAGAGAGAGAGACAGAGATTTCAATGAAAATTTCACATTGCAAATTTTGAATTTGTGCGTAATTTGTATCTGTGATTTCTGGACTTTTATTGAAATGTTTATCTCGTAGATTCGATTAAATGATTTTTCGATTGAACGTCATTTTTGTGCCGTAGTTTTTAAATAAAGACGTAATATCTGTAATTTTCTTTTTTTCTCTCTTTTATCATGAGCTTAATGTTGTGGAGATCGTGGTTGATTTATCGGATACATGCAAAGTTTCTTTAGAAGTATTTTCGGACTGGTAAATCGTAAAATTTGCCGACAAAGATTATTTGTTCTATGTTCGTGGTATAAGCGTACCGTATCAAACACGTAGAAAACGTCATTTGCAAATCAACATTCAACCGTAATTGTAATTTCTTGAAAACATCGTACAACTCGTCAAATGCAATTTTCCAACATTGTGCTAGATTTTATTCTATGTATTCTCATTAAAAATTATTTATCCGAGAGTTGACTGAATCAAAACGAAATTTCTCTTTGACAAAAAGAAAAAAATACTATACACTTTCGTGTATTGACGTCAAAATCTCCATAACGTATCATTCTATTACGTATATTCCATCAATAATTACATGCTTTCGTGAAGATACGACGAATTCATCGTATTTTATACTCTCGATTGCACGTTCGTGTCAAATATTTGACAATGTACTAAACGTAAACAAAGACACTACGCGGAATTTTTCTCAGATTCGAATATGAAAGAAAGAAGAAGAAGAAGAAAAAAAGCAGAAAGCATACATTAATTTAAGAAAAAGCAATGTTTCTCCTGAGGGAACTCGTGACGCCCACTGGTTCGTTCAAAGTGCAGGTTAAAGAGCTCGCCGACCTCGCGGTGGCATAATTTTACGTAACGCCGTTTCAACGCATGATATGTCTGTTATTTTTCGCGATCGTCCGTTTCGATAACACCGTTTTACAACTGACAACTGATTTTGGAATCGCGATTTGTTTCTCTTTAACACGCGAGCCGCATATTAATGCAGGGCATATGTATGTTCGGCTAAATGCTGGCGACGAAAGTAAATGAAACAATCATCGTCCAGATCTGTACAACAATTTATATGAAAAATTATGAGCTGGTTACAAAATTATAAACTGATTGTTTTAATAATTCTGTGCTTATATAACGTTTGAAGAATTTTTCTCTCTTTTTAAAGAGTAGTAATTACTTGAGTGTTCATTATCAATATTGTTAAAACAAAATTTGTTCTCTTCAAAATTTCATTTGTCCAGGATTTTACTCTGACTCAAATGACGAGTATTTCCTATAATCAATACCAGCTGCGACAGTTCAAAATATTAATATTTACTTCTACCAAAGAAGAAGAAAATCATTATTTTTTCCCAAAATCTCGGGGTGCTTCGAACTTTCGAACGAGAAGCTGTGTGTATATATATATATATATAGTTGGCACACGAGTCTCAGAAAAACGAAGAAACAAAAAAGAAATTCGCCTAGTCGCGAGATCGCGGACGAAAAGGATCTATCGCGCGCGCCGAATTACGTAAGGCAGCAGCCGATTTGACTAAAAATACCGTGCACGAGGATTATATTCCGTAAGCATCTAACGTTACAATGCTCGGTCGACGAACGCTTGCGAGGCTTGGCAACGGGAGGCTTAGCAAATTTTCGTCGGCGTTAAACGAAACGTGTACGTTTCGACACGACAGTGCGTTTGTTCCGGCTGCAGCCGTGCGTTTGGCCCGGCCACCACGATCAATAAGATCGACAGCGTACACGCGAACAGCCATATTTACGATGTGCGAACGCGATCGCGTAAATGCAACACGAACAGTGAACGCGAAACGCCGCGCTTTCGCCCCGTCAAGTTGCCAACAATGCACGATGGACTGACATTTTTCCTTGTTCATCCTCCTCTCTCGCACTATTTCGAGTCGCTCTTTGACATTTCTTTTCCTTCGAGCCGATCTCTATAATTTTTAGAGATAAAATTCAAGGGCTAAAACTAAGTAAAATATCAGATTGTCAAATATTACAATTTTCTGTCACTTCTTTCTGTCAAAAAAGTTTCAACGCAGTGGTATTTTTCTTCTTCTAAAGTGTAACGTCAGAGATGCGAGCGAACTTGTTTAGCGAAAAATTTATACAAAGTGTATCCACTTTTATTTAAGTTGGCCTCGTTAGTGTATAAAATATAAAGACGTATGAAACATGCGCATAATTCTAACGATTATCCCTTAGAAATGAAATATTAGGACGAAATGAAAATCTGGCGTAACGAATGGTATCTTTGTTCAGTGTTACGCAACACAGTGAACTGACCACCGCACGATAATGCTTTAATTCCTATACATTTAAAGTGACGTTGCAATAGTGCAAAAACCAGGTCGATGCCTGGAGCAGTTTTAACGCCAACCTATTTGTCATTTGGAGCGAAAGGAGTTAACGAGGAAACTGAATACTGCTTTGTATAACGGTTGAACAATTCCGTTCTGTGTTACTTCGCAACCTATTGGCTATTACCTTTATAGAAAAATCCAGTTGCACAATTTTGTTGAAACAAACACGCGTAAACATTCGTGCTTCTCGATATCAAAAATACATATTCCGAATTTTAATTAACAAAAGACAGCACTCGCTCGTGAAAATGTTGATTTTGGCAAAAAGTTTTCGATGAAACGCAGATATTCGAAAGTGCTCAATAACATTTAGACCTTTCATGTTTGTAAATTCTACTTTCTCCTTGCAATAATTCCTTAAAATTTCCTTTTTTTTACAAAATCAAAAGTGCTTAGAACGTTGACAAATGTTCGCATCGAGGGTGCGAATAATTTCTACATATATTGTTCTAAATAAACATTACACTGTCGACGATTCCATCAGTTTCAGATTCCATCAGAGTCATTGCGTTTGATTGGAAACTTTTTACCAAGGGTGTACAATTTCGTCCTCTCATTCGCATTTATCCACGTAAACTCTGCGCTATTTATCCGTCCAGACGCCAGTCCCCACAACAGATACCTCTAAAAATCCCTCGGACCATCTAACTCATCCCCTGCAATACAACCAACCCCCTAGCCACGTAGTACGCTCTCCTCCTAATTCGGGGCCGTTCAATCCCCGAAACGATAATGGACACGAAGTAAAGTCAGTCGCGTCGGATCTCGAGAATCTCCCTGAGATTCCCCCATAACTGTCGCGAACGCCCCGTTGTCCTAAGGATCCGAAAAGCACCATCGTCATCGGTCGCCGGCGTCTACGACTCCGTGGTCTCGGAGACGGGAGAGCCGGCGAAAAGGCCTGCCACTCCTCCCTCTCTGTGACGGGGCCAAGGAGTCCCGATCCGACATCCCCTCGTGTCGAGACGTCGTCACGAGGGGTGGAAAGCTTCCCTCTTCTCTCTCTCTCTCTCTCTTTTTTTCTCTTTCTTTCTTTTTTCCCGAAAACCAGCGAAGGATGTCGGTTTGTTTCGGTCGGCAGGAAAATGGCGCCAGAGAGAGAGAAAGAGAGAGAGAGAGAGAGAGAGAGAGAGAGAGAGCAGAGAAAGAGAGAAACGTAACCAGACCAGGTAGAGAAGGTAGAGAGTCCTCTCCCTTCGCGCGTAGTTCACGCTGGTCAGGCTGGCCCTACACTCTTTACTCTTTCTCTCTCTCTCTCTTTCTCTTTCTCTTTCTCTTGGTCGAGAGAGCGGCTTCGCGACTCGCCAGGCCCTTCTGGCCCCTCTATCTGCCTCTCTGGCCCTTCGTTCTTCCCTCGGCGTCTCTCTTCGAGGACCTACGCCGGTCCCTCTGCCTCCGTCGCCGTCCTTCTTTCGCCCGGTGGCATCGTCCTCGCGTCTACAACCTCTGAAGCTCCACTCCGCTGATGCAGAGCACTGACCCGCAAACTGGTTCCTCCATTACACCAGGCTTTCTCCCTCTCCCACCCTTTGCTCTCTCTCTCTCTCTCTCTCTCTCTCTCTCTCTCTCTCTCTCTCTCTCCTTCCTTCCAACAGCTGCCCCCCTCCCCCTCGACTTCTTTCTTTCCCCTTCGTCCCGCTGTTTCGTCGTCTCGGATCACTTCGATTCCCTCTAGTTTTCTCTTTCTTTCTCTCCTGCTTTCCTCGCCGTCTCTCTCTTTCTTTCGTTTCGCCGCGCGCCCCGCTCGCTGTGTCTCTTTCACTTACAATTAGCCTTCCTACGTCCGTGTCAGCTTCTGCAACCCCCTGCGGAACGATCGGCCTCGTCAAGACCGCCGGCAGATTCGGCGAGACTGCATACACCAGAGACACCGATAGCCCTCCAACCTTCCTCTTTCCTTCGTTTCTTACATTCGGAAGAGTGCTTTCCTACGGGGTAGTTTCGACAGTTTTTTGTTTTGCTCTGTTCTTTCTTCGTGGTTTTTATTGATTGGTTGGATGGTGGTGAATTTTTTGGTTCTTTGCGCTGGCAACTGACTGCAGACCATAACGAGTGACCGAACCGTATATAATTCAATAATTCGCCGCTTTCTTTTTGGTATATCACTGGATAGAAATTATTGAGAAGTAATACATTTATTGTTTGCCTTGCCCAGGCTGTACTTAAATATACTTAAAACTGAGAAAATATTACAATTTTGGGACAAAAAAATTTTCGATTCTTTTTTTCAGTGTTTCGATGATGGCGACTGACGAGAGTGTTTCGAGTTTTGGAGAGATCGTTGATTTCGCGTTTGTCGGGAAGCTTTCGATAGAGTTACAATGGTATCATAATTACTTTTTAATGAATGCAAATATTTGTCTTCCCTGATAGTAAACAACATTGTATCTGTCTTGGACAGTTTACGTATTTCTGCGTATTATGCTCAACGCATTTTTACAACGTACTACTATATCGAAATAGAAGTAGTAAAATCAATGTAACAGCTTGAAATTTCAAAACGAAAGGTCCATTAATTTGTTTTCAACGAGATGATGGAAATATACGACCTCAATTATCAAGTAACAATATTGTTATAAAAGATTTCAACGCAAACGACTTTATCGACGACACATCACGTGCTCTCACTATCCCAAAAACAAGATCACATCCCAGATGTTTCTCCCTTAAAAAAATTTACATCTCAAAATTCGATTTGGAAAAATGATTAAAGTAATTTCGTAAACGTAAGAAGACAATTACAAATTTTCGATAATCCTCAATTACGTAATTCCAATCCATATTCGAATCGAACGAACCTGAATCTCTCCAAAGTAAAAAAAAAAACATACTGGGACTCAACGTCAACCACCTAATTGTATCGCTTCGCCAATTCTGTCTCGCTTCGTTCAAAGCTCACCCACGTTCAACTTGATCCTCCCCAAAAAATCAAAAGATTTGATTTGCCAACGCAGAAAACGTAAGAACCTCTCGGATCGTAAAAACCGGTGCCGGAGTTGTCTTTAACCTTCAACCGTTTCGCCGGAACGATTCAACCATAACCGCGGACGTTTCTCGGGAGCAGTTCGCGGGCGTTCGCGAGAAAAGATGATTCGCCGGAACGCGAACGGTCGAAGCTACGTTCGTGACCTAGTGAAGTTTTAGAGTGGCTGGTTTCGCCAGACAGGCGAGGTGCCCCGGCGCTCGTTGGTCGCGTTTTCCCCGCGGGGCAGCCGCCGCCAGACGTGGAATTAGCGCTGAATTAATTCGCACTTTATCGCCTGTCCGAAGGCGAGAGCGACCACGCGTTTCCACGCGCCGCTCGACGTGCATCAACGTGCCACTAATTTCGCTGGCACCGCGCGGGATAATTGGCGATCGTGGCTCGCGATTGTTCACTCCTCCTTGTGTCGTCTTCTCTCTGCTGTCTGTCCTCTCGCGATCTGACTAACGGGATGATAGATCTTCGAGACGCGGCCTCTTCTTGCGTAACGCGTGATCGATAATTGTTTGAAAATTCTCGTCGTTCAACGTAGGGATCTTCCCAGCGTCCGAGTTGGATCAAACGCTCGTAAATACGATCGTGATTGTCCTATTATCTTGTTCCTTTATTACTTTTATTCGTTCATTTTATTTTTTACTGCTGTTTCATTTCCATTCCAGCTCATCGATGCTCTTCTACTGTCAGGCAATTTTTCTCACTGCGATTTTACCTTTTCGTAAAATATGAAAGATTCTAGGTGCCATCTAATCTTTCTATAAATCACTTTCTCGTCGAACATTTCGATTATCTGAGGTTTTGACATGTGTAATCTTTCCTATTTCTTAGTCTCACTTCTTTGTCTCTCTAACACGAGTTTTATATCGACAGTTCTAACATCTATCTTAGTATTGAGTTTAATCTGTCGAACGGACGAATCTGTAGAACGGCTCATTTATCAATTTAACGTGACACGAAAAATGTAAAAGTCGGACGATCGTTGAATTGGAGCAAATTTATCCTTCAATTCGTTTTCTTTTTTTTTTTTTTCTATTCGAACTAGAACAGTTTCAATGCTTCTAACGAGGACGATTAGCTCATAGCCAATGATAGGTCGTGAAATCGAACTTAATCATCTAATGCAATTAATTGGATTTGATTCGATGCTTAATAGATCGTATTATTTGACGCGGAGCTTGCGTCATCGCAGTTACCCTCGTTTCTGTTTTACTCCGCGAACACGAACCAAACAATCCATAAGTATTCGCAAACAAAGATTTGCCAAATGCTGAGTCTGTCGAGCTTCTCGTTTTTCCAAGAGCTTCGTCGAGCATTCTATATTATATTGAATACGCAAATAAGCGAAAATTATTTTCGTATCATTACCGAGAAAGATTCGAAGGAAAGCAACAAGGTTACCTTCTCTATTATCGAAGACTTTTCAAACAAACAGATTACAGAAATGTAGAAACGCTCGAAGGCTTGTGTAAATAATAATGAATATCATAATCTAAACAAGTCTGATTTCTCTCTTTCGTACGTATTTCGTCTGTATTTCTCGGATGGAAGAGGCATAAGTTAAGCGCTGTCAATTTTGCAGGAAAATAGTTGTGATATTTTAAGTATAACGCGAGAACAAGAATCAAATCGATAACATATCAATATTTATATCTTTACTTTATTTGTTGTACTTACTTTAATAATTACGGGGTAAATGTTCGTGCAGCCGATGAAAAATTACCGACACTTTAAACTGTTGTAACTTCGTAAAAAGGAACAAACAAACTCTAAGAAATCATCATAAAAAGGCGATTTCAATCTTCAAGATTCATTGTGTGAATTTAATTAATAACGAAAAATATTTTTTGGTATGTTAAAGACTATACTGTTAGTACTTTCTACTTTCACAATGCTGAGCCCATTTCTCCCAAAAATGTTTTTAAACAAACATACTCCTTCTATCAAACATTTTACAAATTAAATCAAATTAAATTATTACAGCAATTATTAACAATGATAAAAATAATAATAACAATAACAAAAATAATAATAACAACATACATAACAATTATTAAATTATTAGTTTAACACCACAATCTTGAATAATCGAACGAACAACTACGAAACGATAATTGTTCAGAACACCGACGATTCTTTATCAAATAACCCAACAACCGTATGCGATTACTTCACATCATTACAGTTAGTTTTTCATACTACCAGTAAAATAAGCTCACTAAATTATTCTATACATTTACATACATACGTAATTCGAAACGCTGCTCGTGATACGCGTTCAGTAAAGATAAATTGCTCGACATGGCCTAGTCGTCGTGATGTCCTTTTCAATTATGACAATTTATGCTATCGCGTAACACATCGCAAATGTTGCCCGGCGCAAGCCTACGATAATTATCGTTCGCTGATAAACCGTGCCGTTTCGTGATTTCTGCGAAGTGTAGGTCGCACCTGAAAGAAGGGAGCGTGATTTCTTTCGTACGTGGGCCCGCGATCACAGTTGCACGATTAGCAGCCGTTTTGAATTACGTGCAAAGTAGACAATAATAGAACGAGAACACCGGCTTGCCGCGAGGTAAAAACCGTTTTAACGCTTTTGCAGTTAAGCGGCCGGCGACAGTGAGAATTTGGTGAAATCTGTGTGCGTTTCGTCTTGCGTTGGTCGAGGGAAATAGTATGTCGTATAAATCTTGATTTTGTAGCGAAGAATATTTTAGCAGTTTGTCATGTGTATTATCTGCGAATATCGCGATTCAATATCAATTACCAGCGAACATCTGTAGAGAAGTAGAGAAGAATACAGCAGAGATGTTTCGTATCATATTTTATATTTACCATGTTACCACTTTATATCGTTATACGATCATTTTTACGTTCTCAATATTTGAAATGAGCGTACTATAGATATTTATTTATGCTATTTGCAGATAACATTGAAAGAATACTTTAGTAGCTGGTTATATACAATTTGTCTCGATTGTCAATAAAAAATTTATTTATATCTTTTTATATTTGATCGTTTAGAATTTCACCGTGTTGTGAATGCTTGCATTTGAACATTTAAATTTACGCATTCTTCGCTATGAATCTCCAAAAGCAGAGAATCATCAAGAATCCCAGTTACCCCGAATGAAAATTGCCAGATATTTCGGTGAAAGTCGCGCGACTCGTTTGTTCAACGGGTTAAGAATTGAACACCTATAGATCATTTCCAGACAAGTTCGAGTTTTTCTTTTAAAATATTTCGCATTCCCAATAAATATTCGACGAGATCTCACAACAAAGGTCTCGCCGATGCAACAGCATTTGTAGCGCGAGGCGCGCGAAAATAAAAATCGCGCGTGTTACGAAAAGGGAAAACTGGCGAAATCGAGAGAAAAGAAAACCGGCGACACTCGGCGACAGGTTCGCCACGGTGACACGGTTCGTTTTAAACCCGATAGATAAACGATTCGTTTTGATCGATTGTTCGCCGTCTTGTTTGCGCAACGAGCGAATCGCAATGCAGCTAACAATCGAGAAACACACCCTGAATTCGAGTTACGTCAACGCCAGTTGTCATTTAGACCATTGTCACCGTCGCAAAGCGTTCGCTAACGATTTACGACCGATGGAACCCAGTCTCAGATTTAGCGAATTGATCTACGCGCGACTTTGGCGGATTTGATTGTTACAGTTGTCGGCTTGTCGCCTAGTTTTAAATGGCGGCTGGCGATCTCTCGATTGCAGTGGCTGTAGAAATTTATATTGACGCGAAGATTGACGAAAAGGTGCGGGCTTTACATATTATTAACCGATCGCCAATGTTTCTTGTTATTGCTGATTGTTATAAGTGATTTGCTATTTGTGGATCAGCTTCGTTGTTATATTTCCGAGATGAGAATTTTATTTATCGTTAGCGTACTGCTGACGTTTATGCATCCAAAAGTTTACAGATTACAATATGCAAAAACACCTACCTGTATGAAATATCGACAGTTGACCTTCCGTTTCTTGTATTTAACTAGAGTTTTTACATCGTGAAATCCATAAAATCGAATAAACTAAAATCCGCAACTTCGACTTTGCCACTGATTAATTTAAATTCCCGCGAAATTCGAGAAATAATACGCTACTGCAAAGAGAAAACGCGCTGGATTAGTAATTCCGATACGTGTTTTATTCCGTGTGTAAATTCAAACGGGGCACATAAGTGCAAGTTTCTCAAAATCGATCGAGTATTATTAATAAATGTGTGCGATTATGTTTATTAAACACAACGTTTATCAAAAATATCGATAGCACGAAGAAAAAGAAAAATATAAAGAAGAGTATAGGTGTTCTTAATATATATATATAGACGTACTCCGAATCGGAAGCAGTAATTTGCACTGGAGTAAAAGTCGGGTAATGACAGCCTTTCGAAAGATGAAAAATGTAGGAGCGCGGGCACAATAATCCAGTTTTCCAAAACAACGTGACATCTTTATGACAGGGAGCAGCTGCATTTTAAATACGGGCGACGCGCGAGAAATTTGGGGCGATTTTTATCGATTAATTGGCGAGTTAAAGTTTGCGCGCGAACGTTCTTGAGATGAAGAACTCGAACAAGCGATTCCGAGTCACGTTTTACGTGACAACAAAAGTAAGAAAATACGAGATCTATAGCAAATAAATTATTTAAACGATTAATAAACGAGTGTGTTAAATTAATCAGACGGAATTAATTATTGAATAAACATTTGAAAAGTTAGATGCACGTTACGTGATAGTACGAACGAATCACTTCGTTTCTTTTTTCTTTCTTCAAGTTTTGCCTTCTCATCGCGACCCATACTTCAAGTATCTAGATGCAAATGCTTCGATACGATTCAAGAACCACCATCATCAAAAATAACTTTAAAACGTTCAACGTGCTTTATGGTTCAAACGTACAATCAGCAGTTGCATTAAAAATAATTCCCTAGTCATCTGGCATAAATATCTCATCGGACGTCTTAACTACAGGATCATTTTAAGAATAATTTATAGACTGTCTGACTTTTACGATTTTTACATTTTTTTTCTTTTTTTTTTTTTATTAGAATACGTTAAGGCGAGTTTAAAATTAAAAACTCGCAAGTGTCACGAAAGTATAATAACATAATATGAAAGTTTACGTAACTTCTTAACAAGCCATCTCGTTTTCCCGTCCTCGACACTTTAAATGCATTATTAACTGTAAATTTCCATAAATTAATCTGAATAAAATTCATTGATTCAACCCTTATGAATTGCCAATCTTTTCCACTATTTATTATTATTATTATTATTATTTTTGTTTATATAAGAGGAATTCGCATTAAATGCATTCAAGACTTTAGATATTACCTAAAACTCCGACTCGACAAATAGAGTTCTCAATTGAAACATCAACGACATATTATTACACGATAGATTGCGGATATTCATGCAGTTTCATATTTAATAATATAAAGATAACCGGAGAAAGACCAGAACTTCAACAGACAATTATATCGTTTGATAAATATTACAAGGACATTGTTATCGTCCGTCTTCAAAATTTTTTTCACCTCCAAATCTCCCTTCGCACGAAACGCACGAAAGTTCGCAATCTACACATTATAGATCTCATGCTAGACTCACCGGTTGCTGACTGGGTTTGAAGCAACAGCCCGATCAAGGAAATCAGAACGTATGTGTTACATCGGGGCGCTACGATACCCCTACGCAGGGTCGTCATCTCACGCCTGGTTTCCCCTCGAACTACCGCCGCCCTTGCGACCACCACCTTCGGCAACTTTGGTTTCTCAACTTCCGCCTTCGCTCCCGCCAGCTCCGCGTCGCGTAGTCCTCGTGCTTCACATCTCATCTGCCACGCCGCTGTCTCTTCTAGTCTACGTCCGCTGGCGACCCTCCTTTTCCCCAAATCTCCGTCCACCGCAATCGTTTTACCACGTATCGGCCCACCACCACCTCCACCTCTCAGGCCACCTCGTCATTTAACACACCGTTTCGCTGAAACGTTCGATCGTTTACAGAGTCACGATCCCCCAACTCGAGTCCCGCGCCCGTGTTTACGAACGTGTGCGCTTCGCCTCCTTTCGAACTGACTTTTACAACCGGGCGACACTCTGTCGCTTACTATCGCTCTGTCTTATATACGGTGTGCACGTTTACGTGTCTGAGAAACTACGTGGCCTAGCGAGAATTTTCGTCGATCGAGAGGAAAAAAGAAAAAAAAGAAAAAGAAGAACAAAGGAGATCTCCCTCGTCGAGATTTCTTTTTGTTTCGTACGTTTCTTTTTCGCGCGTCCCCTGCCTCGCGAGACGCGACGATTCGGTTACGGGGCGGCCCGTTCCACGTCCGAAGCTGAACTCTGCGCCGGTGAATCGGTGTCACGCGACTATAAGAACGCGCACGGACGGTGCCACGCGATTAACGCCGCTCGCATTTTCGCGAGAAAGTGTATTCCGCGCCGACACACCGCCCGTCAACGTCCATCGAGACGATCCCGCTTTTCGCTATTTTCCTCTTCTCAGTTCCCACCCAATTCTTCCCTTCTTCTCCCTCTTTTCACTCTATCGTGTCTGATACAAGATCTCGTGAGATTAACGAGAAACGATAACGCGATTGAGAGGGATTCGAGTTTCACAAACGGAACGCGCGACGACAACAACACTTGCTCGTCAGGTTCGATCTAACAGCGGCCTCGCGATCCGTCTCACGATAAAGGGACACCTTTCTCGTTCTCGGTGAAATACTAACGAAGCGCCGGGCGAGAACTTCACGCGTCCGGCGAACGAGCGAGCGAGCCAAACTGCAGGAGTCGAAAGAGGCACGCGACCGAGAGCGAGAGAGCTCTTTTCAGCGGATCACGTGTCCGGCGAAGGAAACTCACTGAACATCACACCATCCACGAGGAGAAGAAGTGCGCCGCGGTCAGAAAAGAGGGGTAGGGGGAGGGGGGGAAGGGTGTCTGGTGGAAGCCGAGGAATCGATTCGAAACACCTGTAGAAGAGGCGACGTGTTTCCGTTCCGTTTCGTTCCAGCGAGCGGTCTCCAGCCTGGAACAGCACCAACAGTGTGTCCTGTCCTGTCCTGTCACCGTGCACCACCAGCCGCGTACTTTCTCGAGCTTCGTTTTGTCTCTGTCTCCGTCTCTGTCTCTGTCTCTTTCTTTCTATCTCTCTCTCTCTCTCTCTCTCTCTCTCTCCCTGTTCTTTCTTTTTGCTTCAAAAGACACGCGTCTTCCGCTTCCGAACTGAGAATCGTCTCATGATCACGTCACTCAATGATTCACCACCCGCGTGCCAACATAATCTTCTCTCTCTCTTCCGTCTCTTCCTGTTACTCTCCTCTACTTTCTCCGCGACCGTGGCAAATCACGGTACACGTGGACACGACGAAGCGAAGACACGGCGGCAAGGGCGCGAAAACACGGCCTCTCCCGGTGGCTTTCGAGCCGTGAACGTTTCGCGCGGCGAACGAGAGCCGGCTCCTCGACCTGCCTCACTCACGGATCCTCGTCGATCGTCCGGCAAGGAGTTTAACGACCAGTGTACCTCTCGATTGTACGAACCAACGTAATGTACGACGACGACGACGACGACGACGACGACGACAACGACAACGGCCTACGAGAGTGCTCCGTTCGTTCGTTCGTTCGTTCGCTTGCCTTCGTCTTCGTCGCGTTTCCTATAGCTCGTTCTCGTTCGTAATCGTTCGCTCGACCGTTCTGCCTCGAGTACGAGCGCGGGTAGTTTCGTGGCGCGCGGATTCGTCGGATGGAAACCAAGCGCGCACGAGGCCGCCCGGCAGACTGAGAGTAGCAGTCGACAGTCGACAGTCGGCAGGCAGCAGCGGCAGCAGCAGCAGCAGCAGCAGCAGCTAGTAGCAGCAGCAGCAGCAGCAGCCAGCAGCAGCCAGCAGCCAGCAGCAGCAGCAGTACAAGGCGGAACGTTTCCCCGTGTGCCGAGCGAAGCTCTGCAAAAGCGGTCTGCACACGCGGCCGCGCTGTGTTATGTTGTCCCCACTTCCCTTCTTGGAGCGCGCGATCGCGGCTGCGGCTGCGGCGGCGACTCGCCTATCTGCCTGTATGCCTCTATGCCTTCGCCTACCTTGCCTCCTCTATGTCTGCCTGTTTGTCCGCCTGCCTGTCTCATGCATGCATGCATGCATGCATGTTTCGCCTCCTTCTCCACCGACCAACCACCTCCTCCTCCTCCTCCTCCTCCTCCTCCTCCTCCTTCTTCTCCTTCTCCTCCACCTCCTTCTTCGTTCGTACCTACACTCCTTCTCCTTGCTCGCTCCTACTCCTCTTCCTTCTTTTCTCCTTCTCCTCGTGTACTTCTTGCATCCTCCTGCCTCCCTTCACTGCGCCCCCCCCCCCCCGAACACTGCCTGCCTGCCTGCCTTCCTTCCTTCCTCCAAACTGCTCCATACGCCTTCCTTCTCCGCTCTCCTGCGCCTTGCCGCTGCTGCTGCTGCTGCTCCTCCTACGCTTTTCTTCTTCTCTTACCTCTTCGTCTCTTTCTTTTTTCTATTTCTTCCCCTCTCCCCCCCCCCCTTTTTACTCGCTGCGTGTGTTTCGCCGTTTCCATTCTACGTGCCTGCCTCTGTGTCTACGTCGCCTTTCTCCTTTCTCTGTCGTCCGTCCTTTCTTCTTCTTCTTCTTCTTCTTCTTCTGTATTTTTCTTTACTTATCTGTATTTCTTCACCTTTCCCTCTTCCTCTTCTTCTATAGTCTTCGCCGCTTATCTTTCTTGTGCTTCTTCGCTTTTTCGCCCTTCCATTTCTCGCCCCTTTGTCGGGACTAGGGCTTCGCCGGTCTCACCAGCGATACTTCTCTTCCTCTCTCCTCTCTCTCTTCTCTGGTTTACTTCCGGTATTCGACGATCTGCACGCTCCGCACTGGAAGGAAAGTGCGTGCACGCCGCGGGAGATTCGACTCTCTGGCCGGACGAACTGGACACGATCGGGTCCCACCGCGCGTCCAGATATTTTTTGCCCGGTTCCGCGATATTTATAGTACAGTCGCGTTTCTGTTTGTTTCGGATGCATAAATTGTGTAAGGCCTCTTTTTTCGACGCGGAGGATCCGAGCGACTCCGCGTGACGGAGTACAGGGAGGGACAGAAAAGAGAGAGAGAGAAAGACACACACACACACACACACACAAAGAAAAAGTAGCCGAGAGTGTCTTCTTTATTCCCTCGTCGAGGGTCGTTAACTCTTGTCCCTCCGATGACGGATTTTTCGGATTCTTTTTGCGTCGCGCGCGGCCAGAGGGAACGAAATTGCAAGTGCGACGAAAGACGATCCTCTCTCGCGTTCGAGCGTAAATCGAGAGTAACGAAATGTATGGTTTTTGTTTCGGACATTCCTCTCTCGCAAATGTTGTTCGGAGGATAGTTAGAAAATTACGTCTCGCGTTTCGCGATCGTTCGGTTTTCGAACCCGACGAGACTGAGGATAGAATGAGAAGAAAAGAAAAAAAGAAACTAACCTAAACGCAATTGGCTGTTTCTTCGCGAGCAAATTTTCATTATCAAACGTCCGCAAATTACATTTCGAAACGCACGCGCGAGGATAAACTTTCGGACTCTCGAAATAACAAACGTTATCCCGTAGGATAGAAGAGCAAAGAACGCAGCACTTTGACTTATATGTTGGCGTAAACATTTCTGAGGCTCCGTTTTGCTTCGAGATTCTCTCGGCGAATGACAATAGTTGGTAGCGAGGAGAGAATGGAGTCGAGAATCGCGTTTGTTCCTTTCACTCGTTTCGGTTTCCAATCGCCCATTTCGTTTTTCTTGCTTCCTCGCCGTCAGTATTAGCAGCTTTGTAATTTTCTGAAATTTTCGAAGATTTTTCCATTGCGTCTCGTCCCGTTTGTTTGCGAACTTTCGGCCCCTCGATTATCGGAAACTGTAATTTTAGTAATTTTACTAAAGATCTCCAGCGCTTTCAGTTGGTCCAAATATTTTCCCGACGTTGACTTCTTTCACACTTTCTTTGTATTTTGGATGACTTGTTTCATCTCGTCTTGTTGTCTCTCACATGTATTTCCTGTTGTTTCTTATTGATTTGTATCGAATGGAAATTCTGATGGTTACGTTCGATACTCGTTTAGAAGATATTTCTAATGCCTTCAAAGATGCAGTTTAATTGAAGATTTTTTCATCGAGAAGAGCTGATGAATCGGTGAACTTGTTCCAATTTTTGAAATTACCAAAACTCAACGAAAAATCATAAACTATTTGCTTTTATTGGAAACGGTTAGCCTACTCGCTTCTGAAGACAATTACTTAATTGTTTTGTTCAATTCAGAAATAACACAGGATGCAAGAAAAAACCGGGTTGAAATAAAAGTAAAAATTTCACTTTTTCTCAATTTGATAACTATGATACACCATATTCGTACAGTATTTATAAACATTTATCAACCGAATAATTCTACAAAATGATACGCTAGAAATAAAATGCAACAAAATTTAAAGAAGCACAGATAACTTCAGGTTTCGTTGCTAAAACTAAAGTAAAATATATCATCATTGACATCATGCAATCCTAAAAAACACTAAAGACAAAATTTCCCTATAATTCTTCAATAATAGCCCTCTGATCGAGAAATAAGAAGAATAAAAAAATTTTTTCATTCTCAAGCAATGATCCAATCATTACATTGAAAAGCAACGAATTCCAACAGAGGTTAATATTAAAAAAACAGAGAAAGAGAGAA